ATTAAAGTCATAAAGTAAATAGAATTATGTATATTTTTTTTATAGTTTTCGATTGAGTTTAAGGCATGGGATTGTCTTTATGAGATTACAAATCGTACTGGACGAATAATTGACAGGGCGTATTCTTTCGTCAGCCGCCTTTTTGCTGAACTTCTATGGCACGAAGAAACTGCTAATCATTCACTTATAAATTCTTCACAATCCGCTGGGACAGCTGAAGAATTTATTCAAGAATTGCAAAGCAAGCTATTGGAAAAAAATGATATAATTGAGCTTGCTGATGAAGCTGTGCGTTCGGGATCTTTGCCAACTCCGCATTCCCATCTTCAGTCAATACTAACGGATATCGGACGAGCTTTTATTGAAAGCTACGGAAATGTATGTTTAGTTTACAAGATACATAGCCATGACATTTTATTGCATTCACCGAGCCATTTTTACTTTTAGTGGAGCGGTATTCTATCCAAGCTTGATCTTATTCCTCTAAGATATTCAGATTTTATTGCATCAAAGTCTTGGTCTGCTGTTTGTGCCAAAGGCTATATATATTGGTCTCAACTTAGAGTTCGATGTTTCGGAGCACTTCCTTCGGATAATAGTGATAACACTACAATCAGTTCCTCAGGCCAATTTACTCCCCTTCCTGCATCGCCTTTGCACGCGGCTAATGTTGTAAGGCTGCACGGTCGTACATTGGTCCGTTTTATGCTTCAGCGTTTTGAAAAAGAGCGCTATAAGCGTTCATATACAAGTGAATCTGATAAAGAAAATACCCAACCGAATTCTTTAAATGCATCTGCTATCCCAATTGGACATTCAAATTCTCTTATTTGGGGCAATGGGTCTTTGAACGGTTCGTTGAATTGGCTCTTGAGTACTTTCAAATTTCTTGCATTTATTTTCATATTTTACATTTATAGAAGTCGATTTACTTAATACATGGTTGGGTACTCGATTGCTGCTTGAAGGATGTCAGCAAGTCGCTGAATTATATACCCTATTGGGTACAGTGCGTGAAGCAAGAGCATATTTAGATGAACTACTCAGGGCTGCACAGCGTTTTCATGTTCCAGCTTAGTAAGTGTGAATCTCTAATTTTTAAAAGGCTGATTGTTCCAACAAGCATTTTTCGTTTTTATCTTTTCACAACCAATCCATTAATTTTGCTTCAGTAAATAACTTTCAAAAGTTTGATAAGGCTAATTTTATAAATTCCTGATAAAGTATTTTTGTAAGCTTTCTTTATGGGATGTCGCTTTATATGAATATACTACAGACCTATGGTCGAGACTTTGTATTAGCTTGAATTAACAAATTTAAGCTAGCACTGATTTAAATTGATCCTAATTATTCTACTAGCTATCAGGCTATTCTTTAATTTCTATCTCAGTTCTTATTATCTCAATTTGCCTCTGACTTGAGCTGAAATAATTCCTCATTTTATTCTGCTGCCGCAATCAATATTTTTGCTAGTGGCTAGTAATATTTCTGCATTTGTTCATCTATTTCCCATAGAAAAATCTCCTCATTATTTGTATGAACTTAAAGGGTAAACCAAAGAAGGAATATCTATACCGTTCTATTTCATTTTCAATACTCCCCTTATCTCAGTGTCCTTCAGCTGTCTCTCAAATCTGCTCTAGCAGTACAATATAGTCACAGCTCTTGTTGCGACTGCATCTGAGGATATTTTTACTGAGGCTATTCTATTTCTTGATTTTTTTATTATTTACCTGCCTTCCTTGTAGTGCCATTGTTTGGAGCTATTGAAGCATGATAACCCAAATGACAGTTCCCATGCTGATCAAAACCATACTTGATGTTTTTAATTGTTAGTTAATCTCAGAATTCTGGCTCTTATTTTTGTATCGGCGTTTTTATATTCCATCTTTTCTTAGTTTTGCCTTATTAAGTAGCATCGATTATTATAATAGTGCTATTATTGTTATTTGGCTCGTAATTTTCCAATTGGTCCAGAACAAGATTCATCTCTCAATTTACACTTATACCAATACCTTATCAAGTAATTCCATTCACATCA